TTTGCAAGCCAGAACAGCTAAACCAGCTACCGCTGAGGTTAACAATTTTCACTGCTTTCAGTGAAAGTTGTACCAGGCTGTAGCATAGAGGCTATCTACGTGGTAAGGTCCTTGGATGAAAGCAGGACCCAGGCTTTTAAACTTCTCTTTACAACAATAAAGCAACAACCTATTTCAAGAGATCATGGCTTTTAAGAAGCCAAATGACCATTTCAGTAACACCCATCCAAGGCTGGGTATTTCAAGTCATTTGAAAGAAGTTCAGTCCATGAAGTGCTAAGCAGCTACGGTTCCCAAGCTTCAAACAGGAAGAAAGGCATTTCAAAAATGAAGAGTTAATTAACCTAACCACAGCACTACACACACCTTATTTTTTAAAGAAAAGCCAAGAACACAACTTTTTACACAGGCACAATACATCCCTGCAGAGAGGTAGTGTCTTGCTTTTAGGTGTGCAATGCACGCTAACACTAGCCCTTATACAACCAAAGCACAGACAAAAGGGTAATTCAAAAACATTGCTGTAATTTAGGCCAAATGGTTTGAGTCTTTGGAAATAAAACGGAAGATGATAAAAAGCTCTGGGATTTAGGGTGTGAGGCTCCTCTAAGGAGGCTGAGCCCACACCTGGCTGTGATCAGTGGCATCTCAGGTGCAAGCACTTACCCAGTCAGGCCTCACCTCCCACCACTGAGAGGAAGGATCAGCCACTTGCATACACAAACACACACTTTTTATATCCTAGTTTTGCATGTCAGGGAGTCACCCCCATAACAGTAATGCAACTGGAAGCCCATCTCATTTCACAAGACCTACAAAAAAGTTTAAAGTTGAAGGCAGCACCTAAAACATTTTTCTTCAGCACAGCTTGTGTTAATCTAAAAAGGATTATCAGGAGACCTGGAAGCCTCTTCTCCCCACTTCCTCCAAACCCCAAGTACATACAATATACATAGAAGTTGGCTGCTCATCACCGCTAACAAGCATAGCACTGGCCTTGAAACCAATCCCCGAAAGACTTGGAGCAAAAGCATCTGATCTAGAGCAACAGCAACCCCTTATACTATCAGCAGAACTGCACTGAACTCTTTGCCGCAGACAAATTGCTCCATAAAACTAGGGGAGCAGGAGTTCCATCACTTGCCTTTACCAACACCCTCTTCCCCCACCCGTGCCTGCCCAGCCCGGGGTGGCAGGGAGCGCATCTGAGCACACAGGTACCGCTGAGCGGCGGGGACAGTTCAGCAAAGGCGCTTTCTTTTTCTCCTCCCGTCCCACCTCACCCCTCATAACCGCAATTCAGAAACCATTTCTCACAAATTATTACAGGTTTCTTATCTGAGCAACACCTCTCCGAGGACCGCACAGCTGAAAATGAAGTAAAACTAACTTCGCGATCTTCAGAGCACGGAGAAGCATCCGCAGCAACCCCTCCCCTCGCACAGAAGGGCTCGTATCACTCACCCCTGCCTTGTACCGAAGCTCTCCAAAGTTTCTTGGTCGCACACTCTCAGGGACGGCCAGTGATTTCCCTTCGTCTGTCATTCCCCCTGCTCTCAACTTGCCCCTAATTTCAGCCTGCCCTGCCCTGCCCTGCGGCGGCCGGGACGGGGCGGGACGGGGAGGGGCGGTGCTCCCGCCACGCCGGTGCTGCCCCGGGGCACCCGGGGGTCCCTGGCAAAGCCAAGGGAGCTGCTGAATCGGAGGCAAGTCGAAAACAGCGTGCTGTCCGGCTTCCCTGCCCCGGTCCCAGCAACGCCAGCGGGGCACGGCTCCCAGAGCTCCGCGGTTGCCCGAGTTTGGCTCAGCTGGCGTGGGGGAAGCGAACGATCCCGCTGATGCCTTCGCCGCTCTCAGCTGCGGCTCGTTTGAGTTGCTGAGCTTTGCAGGGTTGGGATTGAAAATAGCGGACGGACGTCTGGCAAGATCTTCCTTTCTGCTACGCTGCCTTGCTCCTCGTCCTCTCTTCTTAGGGTTCCACTGCAGAGAGAGAGAGAGGAAAAAAAAAAAAAAAAAAAAAAAAGAGGGAAGGTTTTGATCAGATTTGTTAAGCCTGTATATAGGTAGGAGCTTATCTGGGGCTCAGAATGTAAATCTGAGGTCTGAAGTCACCAGTTACCTGGAAAGAGCCTGTGCAAACTTTTTGCACCACAGCTGACCTTGCAGCCTTCTGAAAAACCTCAGCTTTGAGTTTAGTAAAAATTCTAGCTAGAGGGCTGCAGAATGAAGTTGCTGAATATGAAGCAAGTTTTGCTTACCTAGTGGGTTGGTGCCTTGCTTTGACTCCAAGTTTGCCCCTGGATTCGGTGCAGCCAGCCTCCTCACGGGAGAATGATAAAGAAATGCTGTGAAACGCAGTCTTTGTTAGTAAGTGAATTAGCAAGCATTTTGTCTCATCAAGATCAGCATCGCCCAACTCAGGTACTGATACATCACAAGTTAGCTGCCAAAAACCATGGGAATGATGATGATGATGTTATTTTTAATCGTTAATTTGAGGCTCTTCGTAGTGGCTTCTGAAACTTTAGAACAGCTTTATGCCACAACCCTGAGCTCTTTTAACTTGCTGTGGTTCTCTTGGAATCAAACCAGCTGTCAAATACTGCCTACTTTGAGTCTTAAAATAGCTGAAACCACCAAGTTTCCTGTGGTTTCACATCAAACTGTACGCTTTGTGATGAGTGTGCCTACTATTGCAAAATAAGGGTGTAGGGCAGAGCTGGGCAACTCAAAGGGTGCATCTGCCACCCCAGTGAAGGGCAAGAGCTGATCAAAGCTCAGAAGGTCCTGAAGCAGTTAGGGAGGAGCTTAGGTTTTTCTGTTCTTTTCTGTATTGCTACCTCTCATGACTTGATCAATGGATTCATGGTATTTTGACAATTTTTTGAGCTGCAGCTCCCAGAAGCTAGGCAGCTACACAGAAATGGCCATTTAAAAAAATCTAGCTCTCATCTATGTGGGAATAAGCTTAAAAGTATAGCACGGGCACACACAATGGCTTAGAGAGCATGTATCGGGAAAGGCTAACCTATTTTTCTCCTCGGTTTTATGATTTGGGGATATGCGTGTGTTTGGAATACGTGTGTATGGCAAGGCAGCTGCCTTAAGACTATTTAGTATTACCTCCTGTGTGCAATAAATAAAATGCAAAAGGCTACCAACTCCTTCTGCCCCTCCCCAAAAGTTAGCATTAAACGAGCCTTAAAAGTAATGCTTCTGTGCAGACTCTGTTTTCTGGAACTTCCAGTGGTCTCACATCTCTGACTAATTCCAGTTGTCATTGAATTAACAATATCAAATGCAGATTGATATCATCTCTCCTGTTGATTAAAACCCAAGAGTTACCAACAACGAAGAGAAGTATTCGAAGTCAATTGTGCTATTGCAAACTGTATTTAAATACAGGTTATCTGCAGGAAGTGTTTTCAGATTCAGCAGAGAACAAAGGACAGGCTTCTCTCAGGTGTCTGGGTGACATTCTTATCATTTCAGTGAGAGAAAAACACAGATTTGAAAGCAGCTTATTTACAGCTCTTACTCTCAGGTCATCTTCAAAAACAAAGTCAAATCACTGCCTTCCATAGAAATCCTAAAGTGGGTGAGGGGGCCTGGGATTTCAGTGAGAGCTAATGGTTACTTTTGCTGGAAAAAAAGAAACTGTGGCTGGGATAAAGCTTTTATTCTCTTGCTTATTTCTGATTGGTCTAGTTCTCTAAATCTGCATATGTAGGTCATACCTATAACAAGCAACCTTACTTTGCCTGGTTAAATTTCCTTTCAGGAAGATTGTGTCATTGTTCATTTCAACCTTCTGCAGATTTTTCTGTATACGTAAAGCGGACCCTCCTTGTCACCTTCCACAGCTTCACAAACTCAGAGGCTGTGGAAATAGGAGAAGACCCTGCACTCTGCACTCTACACTGTCAGGAAACTACCCAGTCATGACACCTGGGGCTGAGATACTCTTCTCTCTACTGCTTTGATTCAGACAGCCCTGTACCAACGTAGCCTTGGTTTTGCAAACACATCGCCCCTAGCATGCCCCAAGAATACCCTGAATGCATTTTTGCATATCCAGCCTAATCATCAAATACTACTTGAGTTGTTTTCTTGTTAAGAACACAATGCAAAAAGAATGCAGACTGAGACAAGACTGACTTAAACAAAACAGACTAAGGCAGGTGCATGGGGATATATGGGTGAATTATGCTCCAACAACACCAGAAGGTTGATAAGATTGTATTTACTCTAACCTAACATACCATATGGTAGATGACTCTTCACCTTTTCTCTGCTGGCAATATCCTCTATTGCTTGACTAAAACAGTATTAAAGGGGTCTAGTCACATTCTCACTAGTCACAATGCCTTCTTATTGGGTCTGCTTTTGATATCTTTCTTTATCAGTGTGGATATTTCAGAAATCACGATATCTTAATTATAAAGAATGTATGTGCTCACCAGCGCTTGCTGGTCTGGTGCTGATAGAAACTATAGAGGATGGTACAGCACAGAGGGGAATGATTCTATCCCAGAGGTAGACAGCCCTAATCCAAAGTGAGGTGTCTGCCTAGCGCATGGTAGTGAACACATAACAGAATATTAAATTCTCCTGAGCACCTTCTTCCATGCTAATGAATCCACCTCTGAAACTTCTCTGTGACAATTTATTATATGTAAGCCCAAGTCACTGTGTTAATCCAAGGAGGTAAGATAAAATAGAAAGAACACATTCCAAAATTATTTCTTATTGCATATAACTTTATTTGTAGAGATTAATGCCCCTGAATGATGCCAAACACATTGGTGAGACAGCATGAAGTCAAATGATGTCATTCAGTCACAATTTTCTTGAGGAAATCAGTTTTCCATAGTATTCCATAATTAAGCTACTGTGCATATAACAACAGCTGAAATCCTGCATGTATGTTGGTGTAGTGAGGAAAAGATAATAAAAAGCAGTGAAAACAGGGGCAAAAAATGTACAATAGGCTGCCTTTTTTAAGAACGTTTTTTCCTATTTTTGTACTCCTGGAAAATCTCTTTAAGAATGAAAAAGAGCACAGTAGCAAAACAGAACAGGTAATGGGTCTGGAAAAAGTACAAGGCCAGCTCCTTTAGTGTGTAAATAACATGAATGATGATGAAGCAGTATAGGAACAAGGCGCACTCGTTTTGGGGCCGGAGTAGGTCTTGGAGTCCTTGTCTGAACTGTGGAAAAAGGAAAAGATACACATTATGTTCATAAAAAGTTGCTGTGACATAAGCCAGCATGTGAACTGAGAGCAAATCAGCTACGTTGTGCGAAGTGATAGGTGTCACATTCCCACCCGAATCCATAACACAAGCTGGGTTTTCTCTCTCTGAAATGAAGGCAAGTGACCTCATATTTACTGGAGGAACGAGCGGCAGGTACACAAAGCAGTTCGTGTGAAGTGAGTGCACATCCATGGTAAGGCTTCTGTGTATCCATCTCTACATCCATGGCAAAAACTGTTGCATGTGTTTTTTGACCGCATGGTTATTTTCATCCAGTTACACACGCTCATGTGCAAACTTTCAGGTCTTAATTTCATAAATTAATTCACTAGTTGATTTCCTAATTTCCTTAGTCCAGGTGCATGTCAGTCATCTACCCAAATATATATTGGACCTGATCCTTATCTGTTTTTCTCTGATATAACTTCATTGATTTCATTGGAACTGCATTTACTTTACATAATTGTGAGAGCCTATCCAAGCCTATGGATTAGCTATATGGAGAAAAAATAATATATGCATATGGAAAACTTCAGGGCTTCTGTGATGCTTAGCTGAGTGCCATTATTGTGCATGATCTGAGCTCCTAGGTACAACCACAACACAAATGCTACAAATACTGTGTAAAGCACATCCTTCTATCCTGTCCTGATTTAGAGCACAGAACATACAAGAGAAGACAAACATGCAAGTACCTCTGGAACCTTGATGATTTAGACTCAGACACTCTGCTTACTCTCTAACTCAGTCCAGTGACAAATTGCATTAAATCTGAGAAGAGTCGGGCCCACAAGCAGCCAGCGTGATCAGGAAGAGCCCAGACAAACAAGATTTGCAGCTCTCCCATTTACTAAACTCTGCCAAATAGGATGGTCTCTTCTGGGCTGGACCACTATTAACAGCAGACTGCTATGCCTGAACATAAAATAACTTCAGCTAATTCTGTAAAAAACAGGCTTGCAAAATCTGACTAATTGTCTAGAAAATTTGCGTTACTTTGGTAGATTCTGGCATCCACTAATTTATTTATGCATTTATTATCTGAGTCATCTAACTTATCAATTTCCAAGCCAGGAAATTGATCCCACAGTCAAAGCAGGAAACTGATCAAAGTGGCATTCAGAGCAATTCCTCTGATGTTGGGCAGGGGGAAATGAGGAAAAAAAAAGTTCTTGGATCCTCACATCATAAACTTAATTTTTGAGTTAACTGTTCTTTAATATATTTTATAGCAATGACTGTTACCATAGTTCATACTGTAGGGAGTGGAACAACTCCATTCTCCCTAAGTATGTGTACAAGATGTAAAGATCACCTAGCTGAGTCTAACTTTAAAAGAAGTTGCAGTACTACTCAACACACAAAAGGATAAAACCTTACAAATTGCTTAACATAGAATGTGAATGTTTC